AGTACAAGAATGCTTAGAATTGTTATGTCCTCTTGATATATATGCCACTTAAAATTATATAATGACCTCCTTTATTCCTTGTATTATTCTTGGCTCTGAAATTTATTGTATCTGATATCAATACAGTCATTCAAGCATCGTTTTGATTTGTAATAAAATTATTCATCTTTTCCATCCTTTTACTTGTAAACAATTTGTATCTTTAAATTCAAAATAAGGTTCCTATAGGCAGCATATATTTGTGAGTTTCTTTTTTTCACATACTTATTATTATTATTATTATACTTTAAGTTCTGGGGTACATGTGCAAAATGTGTAGTTTTGTTACGTAGGTATACACGCACTATGTTGGTTTGCTGCACCCATCAACCTGTCACCTACATTAGGTATTTCTCCTAATGCTATCCCTCCCCAAGCCCTATAAAGACACATGCACACTTATGTTTATTGTGGCACTATTCACAATAGCAAAGACTTGGAACCAATCCAAATGTCCATCAATGATAGACTGGATAAAGAAAATGTGGCACATATACACCATGGAACACTATGCAGCCATAAAAAAGAATGAGTTCATGTCCTTTGCAGGGACATGGATGAAGCTGGAAACCATCATTCTCAGCAAACTATCACAAGAACAGAAAACCAAACACTGCATGTTCTCACTCATAAGTGGGAGTTGAACAAGGAGAACACATGGACACATGGAGGTGAGTTTCTTTTCTATTCAATCTGACCATCTCTGCTTTATGATTGAGGTGTTTAAACCACTTACATTAATGTGATTATTGATATTTGAGTTTAAGTCAAACATCTTGTTATCTTGTTTTCATTTGTCCTGTCCTTTCTTCTCTTTTTTTGAATTTCTTTCAATTATTTTGAGGATTCCATTTTACCTCATATGTTGGCTTATTAGTTATAACTTTACTGGTTGATTTAAGGTTTATAGTAAACACCTGTAATGTATCAGAATCTACAGTCAAGTGATATTAATATATAGAATAAGAACCTTAAAACTGTGTACTTTCATTTTTCTTCTTCTGGTCTTTGTGTTATTATTTCCCCCCTCTTCTGGCTTTTGTGCTAAAACATACATTTTAATTCTAATATCCAGTAAGTCAGAGACAATCATAAGGCTCATGTTACTTATTTACCCTCTCTCAGATAACTTTGCCCTCCACTCTCTGATAGATGATAAGTGACTGAAAAGTGTTGTTTCATATATTCTGTCCAAGTTTTAGTTGTTTCAGTTAGGGAGGTAAATCCAGTTCCTGTTACTCCATTTTCATTGAAAGCATAAATGTGGATTAGTGTTTTAAATGACGGTTAATCATGAAGGCTTTATTTTACTTCTAACCAAAGTGCGCTTCCTATGCTATCTAGAATTCCTGGAAGAGTCCAGTGTCTGTGTCCCTTCTTGCCCTATCCTGGACTAGAATGTTCAAACTGCAGCACTTCCTTTGGTCATACAATAGCCTTTAAGTTTACTTTCTACATTTCCTTCAACGGACTTGAAATTTTTAAGAAAAAAAAAACAGTAACTGTTTTATTAGAAAGTTATGAGATATTATCCACATTATCTCAATTTTGTTAGAAATACGTAAGGATCCAAAAATGTATTGTTACTATTTGCTGAATATCACTAAATCTATATTTCTTTTGTTCAGTTTTTCATTCATTCATTCAACAAGTATTTACTGGATGTACATGATGTGCTAAACCCAAATGGTCTAATCCATATCTACATCTCAAACATCCTTTTTGAACATCCTTTTTCTTTGAGAACCAAGGCACACTCTCTAAGCTCCCTATCTACTCTTTGTCAGAATATGTAGGCTTTTATGGGAAGAATTTACACATTTTGTGAAGAATGGCCACAGTAAAGGAGAAAAGGAGGCTCACCAAATAACGTATAGAAATGATATATAGGCAATGCCTTAGGAACCTTAGACATAGCTGCTCCCCTTGAGGGAATGTTATGCTCTGCTCTCTGTTGCCTTTTGCTCACTTTCTGCTAGTTGCTGGTAGTTGCTTGAGCATTTTATATGGAGCCTGATCACTCACATGCTACTGCCTCAACTGCCCCTTCAGACAGAAACACTCTGTGAAGAGCCAAGAGAAACTGGTTAGCAGAAGACTCTCTTCATAGAGTAGAATCTCAAACTCAACTTTCTCTGAGAAACTGACAGGCAACTTCAATCTGCCTAGACATAGAAGAGATATGCATTTTCTATCATGGATATGATATCAGTTCACACATGAATTTAATTTCTCCTCATGAACACTTTTTTTCTTCCATTGAAGCTGGTGCCAACACTGACAATCAAAAGTAAAAAGTCTGGTAGGACATAAGCCTCTCTGTTTATCAATTTTCCTGACCTTTCAACTCTAGCCTCTCTATAATCTTCTGTCTTGTGTCTTAAGCGCCTGCAGAAGGAGAAAGAGCTTTGAAATTACTTAGGCATCTGATTCATGTCTGGGGTTTGTGATGTTATGTGACATTTTCATCTGCCTATCCACTTTTCCCCTTTGGTTTCACAAGTTCCATTGCAATGTTATATTCTAGAACAGGAGTGGCAAACTTTTTCTGTTAGGACCAGATAAAAAATATGTAGTCATTGTAAGCTAGCTATACTATCTCTTTCACAGCTACTCAACTCTGCCACTGTAGTACAAAAATAGCCATAGATAACATGTAAATGAATAAGCAGGCCATTGTTCCAATAAAAATTTATGGACACCAAAACTTGAATTTCATAGTTTTGGTGTAATATCCTCAAGTTTTTCAACCTTTAAAAATGTAAACATCATTCTTATAAGCCAAATAATAGGCAGTGGGCCAGATTTGGGTTATTTGCCAACCCCTGTTCTGGAATCCTGACTTTAAGTTTGTGAGACTGTCCTCATACATAAAATGTGTGTATTTCATCTAATTAGCACAAATTGATGGGGATTTTATTTCCCTAGTTCTGCTGGGACACTTAACCCCAATTGTTTTCCCATAGACTTCTCATAAAGATCTCATTTGTGTATCCATTGATTCACTAAGTGATTTCCTGATGTCCAACTCCATATAGATAACAAAATTCTGTACATTCATGGATTTCAGGTGAATGTGAGCTGGTATGAGGTGGGACTATCTCAGATTGAAAGTGGGCTGTGCTTCCTCACACATCTTACATAGTCTGCTATACTGAGGAGGAGGTTTCCTGGGACAGAACTACCTGTAAGGAAAGAACTAGACAATGTTTTTCCATGAAACAAAGCAGGGAGAGGGGATTTGTTCACTCTTTTGTAGAGCAGAGCAAGGATTCAATCCACTGGAAATTCCAGAGAAATTGGTGGGACTTTCTCACTTTGAGGATTCCTGAACATCTGCAGTGGAAGGAGCCAGTGTAGGGAGCAAAACCTAGAAAACAGAGTAATACCCAGGGGAGATGATGAGAATAGAGCACAGCAGCAGAGGAATGAAAGTACCTACTCCTTAGCCCACTGGACTTGTGAATATAGGGAAGACCTCACCTTGGAGATTTCCTCTAATAACAGAAGGGAATATCTAAAGGGTTGGGTCATGCATGTCAGTAAGAACAAGAACTTGGGAGAAAGCTTACAACCTCATTACCTTTTCTGGTCCATACAATAAGCCTGGGAGGTGATTGTCTTCATCTTACTGATAAATATTATGATCTTCAAAGAGATGTGTCTCTTAAACATTTCTAAAAAGAGATCCCAGAAGCAAGTTAAAATTGAGATTCTGTCACAAGTGTTTATTAAGTGCTCACATTGCTTTTATAAGGTGGTCACACTGCTTTTTATAAGTAATACGTGTTCCATTTTAAAAAATAAGAAATTATGGATAAGCAAGAATAAACTCCCTCTTAATTCTACCACAAAGATAAACACGATTTTCTATATATGTGTATATATGTGTACATATATGACTGTTTATGTTCATATTTAAGATTTAAAGTAAAAAAGAATGCAGAGAATGGTTTTTAAAACTGTTTTATTAACTTCACAATATATAATGAGCATCTTTCCATGCAGTAGATAAAACTCCCCTGCTGACAGAAACTTACAAACTGGGTCAAAACAACATTCAGTTTGAAGCTGGTAATAGGAGACCCACAAGAAATAGGTAAGATCAAAAGGTTTACGACAAAGGTACACCACAAATGTGTAGGTTTAGGAAGCTGGGGTCTCCCTATTAACTTCAGGGAAACCATCCGGATTCAGGGCATAAGGCAAAACTCATCGTGATGGTCATGGTGAGGGGGGTCAGTGCTGACTGCCCGCAGACTATGACTCAACTGTTTTTCCCTCAGCTTTTCCATCAGCTGTCTCACCTCCTCCCCAATCCTTTCCATATTCTCCTCTCTCACCCTTGCCTGTGGCTCTCCAAGCCTATGCATTATGTCCCATCTATATTGCAGGGTGGGCTGCCTAACACGGAACCGCCTACGATTTCCTCTAGGCACACAGTATTCACCAACATTCAAAGGGAGGGCCAAGGGCTCCCCTTTATTAGCAACTTGCTCCTTTTCATCTTTTTCATCATTTTCCTGGTTGACATTTTCCACGTTGAGATTGTTTAACGCTCGTTCCTCTTTGGACTCCATTACTCCTAGGAGACAGAGAGAAAATGGACTCAATTCTTGGTGAACTGATCAGCACCGAGGACAGAGGCCCGACTACCCACCTTTCAAAATTCAGAGCCCTGGATTTCAAAGGCCTTTTTTAAATTTCATTTTTTTTTCCCACCAGAGAGGCCCCGTGTACCCTCGGGGTGGGGGGGGGGCAGTCCGCGCCCCTCTCTCCCGCAAAGCCCACCATCTTCTCTGCAGATCCATCTCCAGGCCTCTGCAGGCGCCAAAATGGAGGACGAAGAAGGAGTGGGGGTGGGGGATTGCGAGGCGTAGCAGTGAAGGCACCGACTGGGGTCCCAGACTGGGCTTTCGTCATGTTCTGACCCCCGCCCCGCCACCGTCCCTCGCACCGACCTGGGCCTATCCTTGCAGTCTCCTCCTCCTCCCGATTCTCGACGTGAGGTGCGTCGCCTCGACACTTAGCCTCGCAGACCTGCAGACGGCCGGGGTGGGAAGAGTGGAGGCTGATGCAGCGGAACACTACCGAGGACCCGCCGCCACCCGGCCCCTTCCCCGCGCCGGGCCCGGGCCCTCCTCGCCGCCCTCTCCCCGCGCCTCAGCCGCCCCGCCCCCCAAGCTGACCACCATTTTCTGCATCAAGAAGGGCGGAGCAGGGATCTCAGAAAAGATTGCGCTGGTGGCGGAGGCAGGTGCTTCAGAAGGGCCGTAGCCTCAGGACCGCCGGCTCCCGCGGGGCCAGGCACTCCGCTCACTAAAGGCTCGCGGTCCCGCGGCGGGGCCCTGGGGCTGCATCGTGCACCGGCTGCGTCTCAGCGCGGCTCCTCGGGGGTGGGGCATCCGCAGGCCGGGGCCGCTCCCCAACACCAACCCCAGGGACCCCCTCTGTCTCCCTTACCTGCTCCCCCTCCGCTTCCTGCTTTCGGGGCCGCACCTGGCCCGCACGTCCTCAGGGCCACCGGGTACCACAGCCGAGAAAGGAGCGAGCGACGGCGGCTCTGACGCCAGAGCGAGGCAAGACTCAGTGTTGGCCGATCACGTGGGGCTGTTGTCATCGCCAGCGGCTCCGCCCCCGTCCCACGCCCCCTCCTGCAGCCTGGAGTCAGGTGGGACTTTCGGGCCCGCCCCCATCCTCACCGTGAGTCCCTTTTAACATCCCCAGCCTGGGCTCTGCCACTCTCCCTTCTCTTGTGTATTCTTGAGACTTCCCTTGCCTGCCCAGGAAGGACGGAAGGCATCTTCTCAGGGAGCTGTTGGCCATTCCCACTTCTCTGGGGACTTGCCTCTCTCTGCCCTTGGCTCCCAGGATTCACCTCCTTCTGCCTGTTAATTAATTTTTGACAAAGATGTCAAAGTAATTCGATATGGAAAGTATAGTCTTTTAAACAAATGGTACTGAAATAACAGAATTCTTAAAGGAAAAACAGGAGCCTTGCCTTTTATCTATACTATACACAAATTAATTCAAAATGAATCATAAACCTAAATGTAAAAACTCAAATTAGAAAACTTCTAGAATAAAAGAGAAAAACTTTATAATCTTTGAGAAAACAATCCCTTAGGACAGAAAAAGAACAGATCACACACAAAAAAATGAGAAATTGGATTTATCAAAATTAAAAACTACCATTTAAACCACATGGTTAAGAAAATGAAGTGAGAACCTGGGAGTAAATATTCACAATATGTGTATCTGACAGTGGGTTTGAATTCAGAGCATATATAAAGAACTTCGAAAACTCAAGAAGGCAAATAATAGATTTGAATAAACATTTCACAAAACTACATACACAAATTACCAACGAGCTCATGAAAAGATGCTCAACCTCATTAACTATCAGGGAAATGTAAAATAAAGCCAGAATGAAAAACCACTGCACACCCATTATAATTGCTGAACTTAAAATGTCTGACAGTCCCAAGCACTTTTGAAAATACTAACAATAGAAACTCTCATTGATTGTTGGTGAGGGGTTCAACCACTCTAAGACTTGGTGGCAGTTTCTTAAAAAGTTAAACTTAGGCTTACCATATGTCCTAGAAATTCCACTTTTTGGAATTTTCCCAACAGAATTTAAAACATATTTTCTCAAAAATATTGGCATAGGAAAGTTCATAGAAATTTCCTTTATGATAGCCCCAAAGTTGATAAAAATCTAAATGTCCAACAAGTGAACTGATAAACAAATTGTGATGTATTCATACATTTTAAAGCTGCTAAGCAATAAAAAAGTGACAAGCTACTGATACAAACAGTAACATAGATGAATCTTAAAAAAATGAAAAAAAAATTGTATCTATAAAGACACCAGCCACAATTGAGTGTTTTCTGCATGATTGCATTTATATAAGTTCTAAAACAGGCAAAACTAATCTGTACTGATATAAGTTGAATCAAATCAGTTTTTGCCTGGCTTGAAAGTTGGGGTTTTTCTGATTGCAAAGAGGCATAATGGAACTCTCTCAGCTGAGGAAAACATTCTGTATCTTAATGAGGTAGTGACTCCATTGATAAATACATTTGTTGAAATCATTGAACTATATAGTTAAAAGGTGTGTATCTTATTGTATGTAAATTATAGCCCAATAAGTTTTGCTAAAAATCAAATATCTAGGAATAAATCTAATTAAATACTTTCAAGACCTCTACACTGAAAATTATAAAATAGTTTCAAGAACATTAAAGAATAACTAAGTATAGGTATTACCATGATCATGAATGGAAACACTCAATATTTTAAGGATGTCAATTATACCCAAATTCATCTATAAATTCAGTGCAATCCATATGGAAATCTCAACAGCTCACTTTCTGTTGATGAGCAGACTTCAACCATGTGTATGAAAATACGAAGAGGTGGGCGGGGTGCAGTGGCTCACGCCTGTAATCCCAGCACTTTGGGAGGCCAAGGCGGGCGGATCACGAGGTCAGGAGATCCAGACCACCCTGGCTAACACGGTGAAATCCCGTCTCTACTAAAAATGCAAAAATTAGCCGGGCGCAATGGCAGGTGGCTGTAGTCCCAGTTATTTGGGAGGCTGAGGCAGAAGAATCGCTTGAACCCGGGCGGCAGAGGTTGCAGTGAGCCGAGATTGCGCCACTGCACTCCAGCCTGGGCGACAGAGTGAGACTGTCTCAAAAAAAAAAAGAAAAAAAAATACAAAGAGCCAAATATAGCTAAGACAGCCTTTTAGACGAAGAAAGCTCCAAAACGTCCACTACTAGATATCAAAATTTAATACAATTATGAGTATGATATTGTCTCAAAGATTAAAATGTGTCTGTGTTTGTGTGTGTGTGTCTACCTTATATGGACCTGTGAAACATACCTACCTACACAGTTACCTAATTTATGATAAAGGTGACAGTTCAATGAAGTGGAGGAAGCATTTTTCTTTTCAAAAAGTGGTTTTGAAAAGATTAGTTGGATATCCATATGGGGAAAAGATGTATATTGATTCCACCTTACATAATACATTAAAAAAAAAACTCAGTGGATTGCAGACCCAAATGGGAAAGGTAAAAATGTAATCCTAATGTAAAAAAACACAGGGGATCATCTTCATGACTTTGGAGTAAGCAGTTTTCTTAAACAGGACACAGAAAGCACTAAGCATGAAGGAAAAACATTATAGATTGCACTTTATTCATATATTAAAAAAAAAAAAAAAAAAAACTTCTAGGCCTGGTGCGGTGGCTCATGCCTGTAATCCCAGCACTTTGGGAGGCTGAGGCGGGCAGATCACCTGAGGTCAAGAGTTCAACACCAGCCTGGCCAACATGGTGAAAGCCTGTCTCTACAAAAATACAAAAAATTAGACAGACATGATGGCAGATGCCTGTAATCCCAGGTACTCGGGAGGCTGAGGCAGGGTAATCGCCTGAACCCAGGAGGTGGAGGTTGCAGTGAGCCGAGATTGTGCCACTGAACCCCAACCTGGGCGACAGAGTGAGACTCTGTCAAAAAAACAAAATTGTTTATCATACAACACCATTAAAAGAATGCGAAAGCAACCTGCAAACTGGGAGAAGATATTTGCAACAAATATATCTAACAAATGACTCGTGTTCATAATGTATTATATAAAGAACTGTTAAAAATAAGTAAGAAAAGGAAAGATAATACAATGGAAAAATGGGAAAATATCTTAAAAAACAACACTTCACAAAACAGAACATTTAATAAAATAAATGTTCAATAATTTTTGAAAAGATGTTCAACTTCATTACTTTTTAAGAGAAATGCAAATTACAGCCAAAATGTGATGTCACTGAACACCACCCAGACAGTCTAAAATAATAAAGACAGAAAACAAGTATTTTACAAGAATGTGGTACAACTAGAGCTGGTACTACGGATTTGGAAAACTGACAGAATGTAGTCAAAATCAGCATATGTATACTCTAAGGCCGAACAATTTCTCTCTAGATGTCCTAATCATGTGTTCATTGGTCTACCAAACAGCACTTACACATATATCTGTAATAGCACTTTAAAAATTGCCAACAATTATCAAATACCCCAATTTTTTTTTAATCAGAGAAATGTATAAATTATATGTTTACATGGTGGAATATTATTCAACAATGAAAATGTACAAGTTGCAACTACAAGCAATATAGATAGGCCTCACAAGCATAATGTTAATAAAAAGAAGTCAGAGAGAAAAAAAGAGTATTTAATGTATAACTCCATTTATATGAGTTTAAACACAGGCAAAACTAATCTGTGATGTTAGAATTCTTGGTAGTAGCAGTCTTTAGTAAACACTGGAATGAGGATTTTACAGTGTTGGTAATGTTCTATTTTTCTTTGTTGTTTTGTTTTAAATGCTGGTTCAACGGTTTTACTTTGTGAAACTTCATTGAGCTATAAATTTATAATTTGGGCACATTTACATATGTATTTATACTTTATTGACTAAATGCAAAACAGATATTCTTCTTGTCATAGTAAATTGTTAAATCTAAAACAGTTTTCACACTATAGGTGGGAATGTAATTTGGTACATTCTTTATAGAAGGCAATTTAACAGGAATTATTAGAAATTTTAGAAATATTTGTACTATTTGACATAGTTATTTCACTATTTACATTCTATTCTACAAAAAATAAATGTGTGAAAATGTTTATGCATAAAGATATTCATGGTAGTAAAACAAATATAACAGTAAAACAACGGGAAAAACAAAATATGCCAATATTGATTAATTGCCTTAAATAAGTTATTACCTATTCATATCATTGAGTTCCATAAAATGATAAAAATATGCTATAAAGGGATATTTAATGATAAAGAAAACTTTTCATTATTTATACTTTAAATAATAACAAATTAGATTAGAAAAATCATGATCAATGGGGTTCTAATACTTATACATACCTATGTATAAACATGGTTTGTAATAGATAAAATATAATCATTCCTTATTTCTGAATATACTTACGTAATAGGATTAAAACAATTTCTACATATAAAACC